CCCCCCATTCAGAACAAATTCAGGTTGAGTTTACAGTCACACTGGGCACAGAGAATGGGAGCGCCTGGAGAGAGAGACGGTCAGTCAATCCACCTCTGGACAGTCTGAAGCAGGCCGGCCTGCTGCCTGTGATTGGGTTTTTTCTTTCTTTTCGTCTTTCCTTTCTCTTCCCTTCTTCCTGGTGGTGGTGGTGTGTGTATCTCTCTAGCATCCTTCACCAGAAATTCACGCCCACCTTTGCCTTTTTACTGGATCTGGTCGAAATGGCCAGAATTGGTTCGTTTGGAATCTGATGATGGTTAATCATACCCTCTCCTCCACCAAAAAAGGTTTTAAGAAAGAACAAGGTGGGGAGGTGGGAGCACCGAAAGCTATTGTTGTTAAAGTGCCATCAAGTGATTCCGACTCATAGCGACCTTGTATAAGGTTTCCGAGGAGCAGCTGGTGGGTTTGAACTGCAGACCTTGTGATTCGCAATGTAGTGTTTATCCTACAGTGCCACATCATTTATTAACACAGGCTTAATGTCTTTAACCCAGAACCAGATGCGTAGGTCATTTTCACAGGAGTTTGACTAAGAATACATAGATAACCCTTCAGATAAATTAATGCAGCTTGATCGCATGGGTTCTGTTGGAAGACAGTTCAGAACTTGTGCTAACTTTTAAGTCACTGGGATTATATTGGCAATGGGGCGGAGAAAGGGGTTGTGTTGACTCTACGCTTTGCCTGTGTTTCAGAGATGGAGGCAATATCTAGGCGACTTTTAGTCTCCAGGATGACGGATGCTTTCTGTTCTCCCTATCAGAAAACAAACCGGGAGTCGCCCGAGATAGGGGCTCAGACCTCAAGCATTGCTCCAGGGCTGCCCGAAACCCGGGAAAGCGCTGCAGCTCTGGCAAGAGAAGAGAGATGACCTGCAGCCAGGCCTGTACGTTGCCCCAATAGTAGAGGACTGGAAGGAAGTCTGCAAACTCAGCTCTCCGAGTCCCGCGGTGGACCGAGTTCGCTAGTCAGAGTCGCGCGTACTATTTATTTCAGCTCCGGCGCCCCAAAGCGGGCTGCGAGCCGCAGCGGAAGAGCCTGGCGAGCCGAGAGCCTCTGCCTTGGAGTCTGAGGGTGGGAGAGCTGCCTTGTTTGGCAAGCAGGTGACCCCGACTTCGACTGCCCTCCTCCGGGCGTGATAGAGGACTTACTGAGGCTTGAGAACTTTTCCCCGCCAGTTCCCGGACGTGGTGTGCTCAGAATGTGCGCGCGAGCTCTAGTTGTGTGCAGTTGACGCAATTTACATACTTAAGTTCAAGCCATTTATTTCCAGAGTCCGAATCTTTTCTCTCTCTCTTCCTCCCTGCTTTCTCCTCTTCCCTCCTCCCTTTTAAATGTCAAACTGAGCAGATGGTTTTAAGGTGTGGAGGACAAATACCCTTTACGCCTATCAGTTTTTTGTGGACTAGCGCTAATTCACATGTACCAACTGAAATTCTTAAAGAAAATATTGGGATGAAAACCAAAGAACCTAGATCGGTTCACAGAACCCAAATTCCCCGCTCAATACACCCGCTTACCTCGAAAGGACCCAACCAATAGAAACATTGTTCCATCATTGTGTCAAATGGGCATGTTGACAGATTATTACTATTCCCAGCCTACAGTTACACATTCCGATTAGAACTCTTGATACAATAGTTTACCATTGGAAGTGTGAGTGGCGTATAGGTGCCTGTCCGTGTAGTTTCCATAAGTGGGGGAGGTAATTCAGGGGGAAGAGAAAGTGGGCAAAATGAAAACTGGACATTTCACGCCAAGTCTCTTAGTATCTCCGACACTTAACCTGGACGGCCTGATTTTTCCTTCTTTTCAATGTTTGAATTCCGTGCCAGAAAGTTTCCTACACGATATAGACTAGGACATAATAGCATCGCTATTATTTTTTAAAGGAAAGATTTAATATACTCTTCAGTATGATGAACTTCAAGATGAAATTGTTAATGTCCCAGGAAAGGTGTGTGTGTCATAGAAAATAGTGTAATGTTTGGCCAGTATACTTGTAACACACTTCATAAACACTGTTGTCACAAGACAACCTGACTCAACCTCTGATCTGATTCAATTCACGGAAGACATATAGAATACTGGTTTGTGTCCCACCTGAAAAATAAAAATGAACATCTAATCGACTAGGCATGGATGTTTCTGCTTAGAAGCTCTTGCAAGTCCTAGCTTTTATAGAATCTTTCCGTCATAAATGTGGCCGGTTTATTAAAAGCCATTTTACTGTGCCCCATGAAAGGGATGGTCTAGCTGATGCTGGAGGTTCGAATTAGTATTATCCAGCAATGTAACTTGCAAGCCCCAAGAACTCTTAAAAGCTATATCACTTAAAGATTTTTCCTTTTAAAATCTAAGAAATGTCAAACCAACATGAATTTTCTATGGCATTACACTGAAACTCGAGATTTGAAATTCCTGATCTAATAAACTTTAAAGTTTGTTAAGACAAGCTTCACAACTGTTTGCAAATCCTGTGTTGAACCTTTCTCTTGGATATTCTGGGGTGAGTTAGTGAGGGGTAATTGCAAGGCAGTGCTTACAACATTTTTGCCCCCAGAAAGATAGTTGTACCTACAATCCAAATAATGTTACAGGTAACCAACGGTAAATAATCTACTTCCTGATAATTTCATGGATGAATGACAGGGACTCGGCCAATGTTGGTCTTCTTACAACAGATGCAGGAGAACCTGTGTGAAACCTCTGACAGCTATTATTTTAATTCCAAACCTACCTGTATTTTATTGTCCATGTGATTTTAAAAGCAAGCAAGGATGACATGCATGCTTGATTATTACCTACTATCGTTTAAAAATTGGAATGGTTTGAGGATTCCCCGACTCCATTCAACAACACTACCCCCCACTCTTTAAAAAGCAAAAGGAAAAAAAAAAACAAAACACTTTTCTTCCACTATACTTTTCCGTGCTTCCCTCCACCCAAGTTCCACGAGCACTCGCTCATTCGGCCACTCAGTGGACTCCATCAGCTGTATCTGGGAAATGAAAAAAAAGGACCTGCGCCCTGGAAGAGCGAGTGTGAGCCGGGCGCCACTCGCGCTGTCGCCCGTTTTGCATAGTGCCCGCAGATGGCTCGCTCCGGCCGGGCGCCGCGATCAAGTCGCCCCGAAGCAGGGGCAGGACGAGGGGAGGGGGGGCGGTAGCGAGGGAGGCCAGGGCGGGGGAGCTCAGGCCTCTCTCCCCTCCTCTCCCCAGTCCCTCACCCCCACCCCTTTTATATTTTTTTTTCCTCCCAAGTTCTCTTGCCTCGCTATCCCCCCTTGAATCTGAAGGCGCCTCGCGATTGGGTGCTGGGGCCGGGTACGTCAGTCAGACTGTGACGTGCAGTCTTCCTGTTTCCTTCAGCTGTGTCTTAAAGTAAATCTTGTTGTGGAGCGGAGCCCTCAGCTGAGGGAGCGCTCTGAAATAATACACCCTTGCAGCCGTGGAAAGCAGAGCGGCGCAAAAGAGCTCTGGCCGGGTCTGCCTGCTCCCGCTCCGCTTCGCCCCTCTTCTCTTCTCTCTTGCTCTTCTCTTCTCTCCCCTCTTGTTCTTTCTCTCTCCCTCCTCTCCTCTGTCCCCTCGCCCTCTCCCACTCGCCCCGCTCACTCGCTCTCGCACAGACTCACCGTCCCTTGTCCAATTATCATATTCATCACTCGCAAGATATCACCGTGTGTGCGCGCGCGTGTTTTCCTCTCTGCCGGCAAAAAAAGAGAGGCTCAGTCCCACTGCTCTCTGCACCGCGTAAGTATCTTCTCCCCTTGTGAGTCCCCTCCCCTTTTCCAGGATCACTTGCACTGGCTTGTTCTTGAATGAGAAGAAAAAGAAAATAGACTTCCATTACTCATACCTTTGTAAACACCCCTCACCCCGAGGAGAAGAATGGTGTTCTCTAAATGAATCATAATAAAATAGCCTCTAAACAGTTCCTAAGCAGGAGCCTCAGTGGAACTCAGCGCTCCGCTCCTCCCAGTTCCTAAGAGTAAGTGATCCGCTTGGCTTTTATTTCTTTCTTTTTCCTGCTGGTGGCTGGGGGGTGGTGTTGCTGGACTTGTCGCTGATCTTGTCACCTTTTGTGTACTGTTGCAGGGGTTTGAGGAGGCGTTTGCTTCCTTTCCTTCTTTATCTTGCCCTCTCTTCTCCGGAGAGAGGACCGCGAGGGGGACCGGGTCGCTTTTTGTTTGTCTGCAATCCCCGCTTTTCACCAAACCTCAACCTCCCCATCCTCCCGGAGTTCAAACTCCTGGACTAGTCTCCACGTCCTTCCTCTTTGTCTTGTTTATTATAGCTGTGCCTTTCTTCCCGGCTCTTCCAATTTGTTTGTCATTTGCATACCTTTCACTTCTCCCTTTTAACCCCATCAGAGGGCTGGGGAGGAGAAGGAAAGGGGGTGGGGGTGGGGGAGCGCTTCCTTACTTTCCTCTCAAAACGCTGTCGAAGCCGAAATGTTGAAATCGGGGTTGCAGCCCTGGAGAGATGGGTCCGGGGAAACGAGCGCGGCGCACCTCGGTGTGAGCTCGACGGTACCAGCGCTGGGTCAAGTTAAGTTGGGTAAGGAGGCTCTGGGAGCCTCGGGGTGAGGGCGTCGGGGTTAGGGAGCCGCGGAAGGACAGACGGATAGGGATCCTGGTGGAGGTAGGGGGTGTTCTTGGGCAGCGGATATCCGAGGCGAAGACTCTCTCCATCATCTCTGCTACTTTATGATTTGGGCTGCCATGGTCTTGTCTTGTCTGTGTGGTACCTACAGTTTTGCCCCAGTTCGGAGGACTGAGGAGGAAGTAAGAGTAATTGTTACTGGGAAGAATAGTGAGAAAGGGCAGGGGGACAGACAGGGAGGGGGGTGGGGGAGAGTCGGCAGCTGCTATCTTGCCTGAGCAGACAAGAAAGGGAGAACCTAGAGAAAGGAGAAGACATCATCCAAAGTCCAGTTTAGCAAGTATGGCTCATTCTGATTTACTTACTCAGAAAAAAACAAAACCTGAACATTGGTGGCGAGAGTGGACAGGAAGATGGGGAGATAGGCTTTGATCGACTCTGAAGTCTCCTACCCCTTCCCAGCTTCTTTGAAAGTTGAGAGTCCTTTAGGCAGGTTGAGAGCAGAACTGGGAGGAGGGGTTGAGCCCATGTCTTAAATAGCCCAAGGAGGCAGGTTGGAGTCTGAAACTGCTGTTCTTGGCGCTCCTGAACCCGACTCTGCCTGGGGGAAGGCTGGCAGCTCACCTGCTTGGTTTTATTTTTCCAAGAAGGTCTGCGTTGTCTCCTTGAGCTTATAAAAATACAGGAAGCGCAGGGTGGCCTCCTCTCAAAGTCAAGGCTACAAGAATCTCTTCTCTTGTGCTCCCTCTCTTTTCTTTACCCATGCCCTCCCTGACAAAAGAATCATTTCCTTTCCTAAACTAGATAGGCAGAGGTCGAGTAGCAGAGTGCGCATGGGCAGGGCCTGACAGGTGTGTTGTGTCAAGAAAGACAGGTGCAAATTTCTTCTGTGTCTGTATAACTCCAGACCACAATGCTTGCTCCAGGGTTGTAGTGGTTTATGAATTTATGGTCGTTCTGTTTAATAGGATTGTCTGCACTAATGGGAATTGGACTGTTATGTTTTGAGCCCTGCCATGTGAGGTTTTTTTTTTGGGGGGGGGGAGGGGGGAAAGTTGGTATGTGTTTGTTTATTTTTTCTTAAGGATGTTGGCAGGCTGCTGTTGAGGCCATGTCTCAGCCTCCTGCTTGCCAGGCTGCCAACAGCACCCCCACTTCAGGCAGCAGGTGGAGAAAGATTGACTTTCCCTTTGCTTTTCTCTGGTTTATGCTTATCTCCCAGGTCTGTGCTTGGCAGAGAGAGAGAGAGAGAGAGAGAGAGAGAGAGAGAGAGAGAGAACTGTGGCTGTCCTTTTGTGTGTGTGTGTGTGTGTGTGTGTGTGTGTGTTTTGGACGGCCACTGTGGTACATAACTGCCAAGAATACCACAGTCAGTTTGAAAGTGTTACTATTGTTAATGCTTATCTTTTTAGTGTGCTTTCTCCTAACCCAGAAAGAATAGGCATGTGCTAAACTCTTTCAAGTCATATATTAAATACTCTCTCATAAAGTAGAATGAGGCTGTCATTGTACCAGACATGTGCCAGATGTCCTAGATATTGCTTTGATGGTGAAGAAAAATCTCAAGTACTTGAGAGGTAACTTTGCCTTTCTATTTGACGCAAGATGCAGGCAGTCCTATGAAGAGTTTCTTGTAAGAACTTCGGAGTCTTTTCAGAGTGAAATGATCTGTGTGTGTCAAGGAAGAAAATGAAGAGCATTTGTGTTAGTTGTCCATGTGGCTATGACATAGGCATGTTTATTACATAAGGGTAAAATAGACTAAGTTAAGGACTCTGACTTGATGTGTGAGGGAAGACATTGGGAATTTGGTCAATATAAGCCTATGTCTAAATTTTTGAATATTTTACCTTTTTTTTTTTTTTTTCCTTTACACAAGTACTTCTTCAAATTGAGTTGCACAGCAATAGGTAAGATGGAGGATGGTTTTTGTTGGTTGGTTTTGTTGTTGGGGTGGAAAGCATTGTGTCCCTGAAAATGATACAGTGTGTGCCTTTATTCTTTTGACTTAAACATGAAAGTTTCCCCCAATACTTTCCTTGGATGCTTTTGAGTTCTTTATTAAAGCGTCATCTATGGCTGTGTTCATTCACTTTATTTTTAATAGGGGTTATCTGTGTTTGGCACTTACTGATACTTTATGTGTCCATTATGCAGAATTCTATTTAGTTTAATCACCACCTTGTGGGAAAAAAAGTCATGCATATATAACATGCATCTTTGTTCTCACTATTCATTTCCAAGTCTCATTCCTCTATAAGTAGTGCTTGCAATCCTAAAACATAAGCCATCTTATTCTGTAAATTGCCAGACCTGTTCAAAACTCAAATTGTTCTTTTTTTTCCCCATGAATTTCTTATACCACTCAGGGACTGCCTTGTATTTGCATTTACTGATATAAGGAATTTTTAGATTCAGTCGTCACAAAAGCAATGATAAAATGTTACTAATTTTATAACATGAAAAGGGATTGTGCATGATATATTATTATAGAATTCTAATAAAGTACCCTTGCAAACTGCAAAGGATACAGACATAAGGAATTTCTCAAACCTTATTGCCCAGTATAATTTTAAAGCTTCAAAGAACATTCAGAGTATTTCTGTTTTCTGCAAGAAGAAAACATGTGGGGGTTTTTTTCCTTATGAGTATTTCTCTCAATTTCTTATTTACTAATAGGGTGAATTATTACTTTTAAAGTAAGTTTAAGTTAGCATAGTATAGGCATGTTGTAGAATATGTGGTGTATGCCCACTTTACAGGTGAAAGATTTTAGGAATTTTCTGATAGGGTGGAGCAAATTTACTAATAAAATGATTATTATTTGAGTACGCTATTATAATAAAAAATTTTAAACCTGATATAAATGTTTTAACAATATAATCTTAGTTAATTGAGATATTGATTTATGTCAAATGGATTCTTCATAATAAACTTCAAAGGCTACCTTAAGTTGATATTAAGCAGAAATATCTAGAAAGAAAAAGTATCTAATGAACAAAAATGAACTCTTCATCCCAGTGAAGGGGACAGCTTAGTGATTTGGAGAGTATCTAAATCAAAGCATCTGATATTCACCTCTTGAATTACTGATTTCCACATTGATTTAAAATGTACTTTATTAATGATATTCCATCTTAAATTTCCATAACCAGGGTGCTCCACATTGATTGGATGTTCATTCAAAGATTGTTTTCTGAAAGAAATAAAGTATAAACTTCAGCAATTTCATAAAACAGTTTTATTGACCAAGACAAACCATTTAAATAATCCACACTGGAAAACCATACCAACCTTATACTTCCCCAGCCCCATAAAGGATTTGTCTGAACTATCTGGAGAAATACTTCTTTGTCCAGAGTCTGGACTCCAGATAGTTCTAGTAAAACTTACAGCCCCCTGCCCCCCCCCCCCCCCCCCGCAAAAAATACTTCCTTATTAAAGCAATTTCATCATCACACTGCAACATTCCATTGAAATTCTTCACTGGAAATTATTTCCTGCTAACATTAGACCATCATTTTCCTTAGGATCCTCTATTTTAAATACAATGTCAAATAATTCAGATGCTGATGAAAGATCTTTTGGAGCAGTTAAAATCTTCCTTGATCAATACCTGGATGTTTGTTCTTACCCTTTCCTGGGAGAGATTGGCTATTGGCTCTGTTAACATATTCATCATATGGAAGTTATTCAAATAGATATATAGATTGTGTATCAATTGGTACAGCCAAATATTTAATATTGAAAAAATATTCCACATAAATTGCACATCTTACAGGAAGATAATATAGGTATAGGAACAATAATACCTATGGGTTCAAATTCTGCATCAGTATTGGTCTACATAGTTACTATATTATTGTTCAATAGTACTGATTGAATGTTTTATACTACCTTGTTAAACTAAAAATATGAATGTTAAAATACAATAAGAATCAATAATAAGTATAGTTAGAAAATTATGGCTTACTACATATGTTGAAAAATAAAAATGATTTTTTAAAAAATCTTAATATACATGTCAGTATCAGTGATAAAGTCATCCCATAGCATTCTCTAAATTCTGAACTGGGAAATCAGAGAAACACTTATAGTTATTTACCTGTGCATTTTCTTACGTGGTAAATAGATTCACATATATATCTCATTTGTGAAACATGTGCTAATAATGTTTTATACCAACCACTTATAATTATTTGATCTTGTCCATAGTATCCAGGAGTCCTGGTGTGGTGCTGTAGGATAAGCACTGGACTGCTAACCCCAAAGTCAGTGGTTCAAACCCACCAGCCGCTCCTCGGAAACCCTATACAGGGTCGCTATGAGTTGGAACCAATTAGAAGGCACTTGGCAACAACAACAGCTTCCATGGGTTAATGGTTCCATTGTGTAGTATCACTATGCCTTTATTTCTAAGGTTAGGTCTAAGGTATTATTCTTAGGTGCCAGTGAGTCAATTTTGACGTATAGCTACCTCATGTGGCAGAGTAGAAATGTCCTACAGGGTTTTCTAGACTATAATCCTTATGGAAGGAGATGGTCAGGTCCTTTTCCCGTAGACCTACTACTGGATGGCCACAAACCACCAACCTTTTGATTAGTAGCCACCAGGGCATTGGTCTAAGCTATATGGAAAGATATTTATTTATGCCAATTAAAACAACAATCTCCTTGTGTGGCACTGTAGGATCAGCACTGGACTGTGAACTAAAAGATCGGCAGTTCAAACCCACCAGCTGCCCCTCAGAATCCCTACACAGGGTCACAGTGAGTAGGAACTGACTCGACAGCACTTAGCGACAATTAATACAATGCCTTTGTGTGTGTATGTGTGCTGGATTATATCATTTATCCTATGCCATATATTCTCTGGACATTTTACAACAAGATCTAAAAAGTATTATCATTTTCATAGCTCAAAACAAATTATTATGAAAGAGAATTGCAACTATCAGTTTAGCTTAGTAAATTTGGAGAGCATTCTAGGATATTGTGTTATTAACAGACTCAACAAAGCATGCTTAATTAACACTTATTCTTCACCCAAGAGGTGAGAGTATCATTTCTTGCCACCTTCGGAAGAGCACAGCCCTCCTGTTGTCCTCCTGCAGGAGGCAAGGATGCAGCTGTTGATACCTAGGCTAGATGGGAGGAAGTGCCGTTGACATTGATTTGGAGGTAAATGAGAGTCGGAAAAGGAAGGATGCCTGGGGATGACCTTGTGCTTTTCTCCACCAGTGTGCCATTTCCAAGCACACTGTTTTGCAGAGATGTTCTTGCCATAGCAGGGATGGGTAGAGTGAAAATCCAGTTTGGGGAGAAATGCTACAGAAAGTTGGTTAAAATTAACGTTTTAGTTGGAGCTCCATGTGCTTTGCAGGTGATATTGAAGAGAAAAGGACTTGCACACATAAAGAGAAAATTTTTAAATCATGGCCATGGACTCTCATTTAGGGAAGCTGACAACACAAAGAAAGATGTCTTCCAGGCAACTGCCCCCCCCCCCCAAAAAAAAAGACATGCAAATTTGTCTGTGATTAAGAGAGACTTGAGATAATTTGTCTTTTTTTTTTTTCCTTGTTTGTTTCAGTCTCTCTTTTTCTTTCTCTTGCCTGACAGCTACACCTGATTTATCAGATCTCATGTGTTAGTGAAATATTTATCATTGCATTTTTGCTTCCTGAAACCAGTTTTGTTAATAGAGTATGATGGGTACCAATCACTGTGAATTAAATTCTGAACCAGATAATGAAGTTGTGAAGAATCTCTGTTTCCATTTCCAACTCAGGAAGTTTTATCCTGAATCATACAAGAAGTATTGTATCTTCAAGCATACCAAAAGAAATGGAAAGTAGCATCAATATACTTCTTTTCTAACACTCTAAAACAGACTCTTAAAATGTGTTTGTTTTTTGTTTTCTTCATAGAGGAATCAGAAGCAGAAAGTGTGGCTTAAAAAATAATACACACTGTTGCCATTTAAGCATTGAGCATTTTCTTGATTTTTACATGTTATTTCATGCTGAAATTATGCCTATTTGCATGGATAGTCATTCTTTAAAACTAGCCACAGATGCAATCCTAGGGAGCACGTAGATGTTTTTACAGGTGAACCGAAAGAGATGGGAGCTGTTCCAAACACTCTGCATGCTGCCTTTGGCAATAGACCCTGTTATTGTGAAGATGTGCTCTATTAAGCAAACGTGAAGTTTAATATTAGATAAATCCTACGTGAAAAGAATTTCCATTTTCTCCAGAAAATGTCAATTGTAAGAAAGAAAGAAAAAAAACAGCGATGTCTTCTATTTATATGAAATTTGGATTTAACACCACTCTTTAATAAGTCACAAAATATGGAAGATGCCTTTTATAAAATGTAGCAAAGGACGTTCTCTTGTGTTCTCAAGAAACAATGGAAGTTCATGGATAGTAAAGGTGTTTCCCTGTCTCATTCACTTAATTGATATTATTGTCTTTCAGTCTTCACCCTACTTTTTTTTCCTTTAAATTGACCATGAATATAAGATTCACAAATGGTGCAGATTAAAGGGTTTCTTGAGGCATTTGAAGTATTATTTTGGCAAATTTTAGCAGAAGGAAATCAATACTTTTGCCTACTTCAATCATTTAGTATTGTACTCATTGATTTATAAATTGTAACAACATACTTATTTCACAGTGGACCCAACTTTATAATAATTTAAGTCATCAGAAGGGCATCTTGGAATTTTTATGAATGCCATCATAAGTATCACTAATATATAGCAACAAATATCATCTTCACATAGGTTTTTACTAATAAAAATGCCTCACTGTGCTAAATAAACAGAATTATATATACATGTATTCTTTTAATTGCTAAATGGATCATTTATGTTGAAAAGATACTGATGGGGATGCTTCAGATTTCACATATGCCAAATTATTTTTAAGTTTAGTAAGCAAAAGGTATGTATGCAGTATTTGTTTTAATCTTTTTTTCTTTTAATAGCCTGTAAAACACAATGTTTTATCGCAGAAATACTATTTTTCATCCAAATTTCAAGCAGCTTCAAAATTTTACCTTATTTCTTAAGTACAGATCACTTTCATCATCTATTGTCAATGCCTAAAATTTAATCAATTGGTTGTCAGAGGCTGTGTTCTTATAATCTATTTCTTCTGAAGATAAACAGTATCATTTTAGGCATTTGTGAAAGAGAATCGTATTACTGGTGCTTAAGCAGTTTTGCTTTTTTTTTTTTTTTTTTTTAAATCTTAATCCATCTTAAACCAGTGGAGCAGAAATATTTAAAAATGTTTCATTTCAGGCAGAGTGCATAATAAATTGCAATAATTGTAATGTGCCATAAATCCCAGAGCCTATGCATTTTGCATTTGATTCAGGATTGAGGTCAGGAAATTTGGAGAAATTTAAAGAAAATGATTCATCAGTCCTTTTGTTCTGTTGGCCAGGGTCCCGGGATTCTTGAGCTGTGCCCAGCTGACGAGCTTTTGAAGATGGCACAATAACCGTCCAGTGATGCCTGACCATGACAGCACAGCCCTCTTAAGCCGGCAAACCAAGAGGAGAAGAGTTGACATTGGAGTGAAAAGGACGGTAGGGACGGCATCTGCATTTTTTGCTAAGGCAAGAGCAACGTTTTTTAGTGCCATGAATCCCCAAGGTTCTGAGCAGGATGTTGAGTATTCAGTGGTGCAGCATGCAGATGGGGAAAAGTCAAATGTACTCCGCAAGCTGCTGAAGAGGGCGAACTCGTATGAAGATGCCATGATGCCTTTTCCAGGAGCAACCATAATTTCCCAGCTGTTGAAAAATAACATGAACAAAAATGGTGGCACAGAGCCCAGTTTCCAAGCCAGCGGTCTCTCTAGTACAGGCTCCGAAGTACATCAAGAGGATATATGCAGCAACTCTTCAAGAGACAGCCCCCCAGAGTGTCTTTCCCCTTTTGGCAGGCCTACTATGAGCCAGTTTGATATGGATCGCTTATGTGATGAGCACCTGAGAGCAAAGCGCGCCCGGGTTGAGAATATAATTCGGGGTATGAGCCATTCCCCTAGTGTGGCATTAAGGGGCAATGAAAATGAAAGAGAGATGGCCCCGCAGTCTGTGAGTCCCCGAGAAAGTTACAGAGAAAACAAACGCAAGCAAAAGCTGCCCCAACAGCAGCAACAGAGTTTCCAGCAGCTGGTTTCAGCCCGAAAAGAACAGAAGCGAGAGGAGCGCCGACAGCTGAAACAGCAGCTGGAGGACATGCAGAAACAGCTGCGCCAGCTGCAGGAAAAGTTCTACCAAATCTACGACAGCACTGATTCTGAAAATGATGAAGATGGTAACCTGTCTGAAGACAGCATGCGCTCAGAGATCCTGGACGCCAGGGCCCAGGACTCTGTCGGGAGGTCAGATAACGAGATGTGTGAGCTAGACCCAGGGCAGTTTATTGACCGGGCTCGAGCCCTGATCAGAGAGCAGGAAATGGCTGAAAACAAGCCAAAACGAGAAGGCAACAACAAAGAAAGAGACCACGGGCCAAACTCCTTACAACCAGAAGGCAAACATTTGGCCGAGACCTTGAAACAGGAACTGAACACTGCCATGTCGCAAGTTGTGGACACTGTGGTCAAAGTCTTTTCAGCCAAGCCCTCCCGCCAGCTTCCTCAGGTCTTCCCACCTCTCCAGATTCCCCAAGCCAGATTTGCAGTCAACGGGGAAAACCACAATTTCCACACCGCCAACCAGCGCCTGCAGTGCTTTGGCGATGTCATCATTCCAAACCCCCTGGACACCTTCGGCAACGTGCAGATGCCCAGTTCCACAGACCAGACAGAGGCACTGCCCTTGGTTGTCCGCAAAAACTCATCTGACCAGTCTGCCTCCGGACCCCCTGCTGGTGGCCACCACCAGCCTCTGCACCAGTCACCTCTCTCTGCCACCACAGGCTTCACCACATCTACCTTCCGCCACCCCTTCCCCCTCCCCTTGATGGCCTACCCGTTTCAGAATCCACTAGGTGCTCCTTCCGGATCCTTCTCTGGAAAAGACAGAGCCTCTCCTGAATCCTTAGACTTAACTAGGGAGACTACGAGTCTAAGGACCAAGATGTCATCCCATCACCTGAGCCACCATCCTTGCTCACCAGTCCACCCACCCAGCACCGCCGAAGGGTTGTCCTTATCACTCATAAAGTCCGAGTGTGGTGATCTGCAAGACATGTCTGAAATTTCACCTTATTCGGGAAGTGCAATATCCTTTTCAAGGAAAACAAACACAGAAATGCTTTCCCCAAAAGGTTAGGCTTAAACAGTATCTAGGATGATGTTGATTAGCATGTTCTTGGGAATGAAGTCTTCCCTATTACTGAAATAGGCTCTTTAGCAACACATGTGGGGCATTTCTGAGTGCACAAAAGCTTACAAAAAAACCCAAATCTCTACAACTCTGTAGAGTTGTTAATTACCTCCAGGAACTAGTATTGTCAGCAATGTTTTCTCTGCTATTCTTTCTTTATTACTTCTTACCTTTCTATTTTTCTAGAGTAGATTCAGAGATGGAGGGGAAAAAAATCTTTGTAAATATTGAATTCACTTAGCTGTTTTCTTAGAAGATGGTTAGTTTTATAACAGGGTGAGAAATCTTAGATCCCTAAGGTTCCAAAATAAGAATTCTCCTTGAAATTCTGCCAGGCCATTTAAAGAAGGCCCCTATCAAATCCCATGAAAAGCACTTTATTGATGGGAAGCTGGAGTGAGACGCAGATGCATGTGGGGTAGAGAGGTTAGATTTTCTCTTTAATCTTTAAGTAAGACTCTTCTTTTTTATTTCTTCAAGGAAATATACAGGTACTGATTTATTCAGCCGGCATTGGTCTCTCTCTCTTGTTCACCTAAGGTCTGTTCTTTGGGTCTGGTGCAGCTGCCTCTATGCATGATTAACTTCTGTTCAGCCATACACAGAAATCTTTTGTCCTAACATACACAAAGCAAATTATTTTGGAAAGTGAAAGAGCACAATTAAATATAAAACTCAGCTATATTAGACTTAAGAAATGGCTTGTCTTTTTATGATGCTTTTAAAATTTGGAATCTGACTTTCATGTAGAAATATCAGTTATATTTTTTTATTAGACCCATCCTGAACTCTAGCTATTTTTAACTGTTGATTTTTTTTTTCCTTTTTAAATTGATCTTTCCAGGAACTTAAAAAAATAAATAAATAAATCTTGTGTGCATTGGTGTTTTGAGGTAGTAGAATAATTGAATAATTGCCTTTGGATGTGGGTGGAGGCATGTTTCTTTTCTAATAAATTACCAGATGGATATAAAATTTGGCAATTAAGTTGGCTGTTGCTAAATTGAGGATTTTGAGTAATCGTCTCGATGACAAGATATTGGCATTTTAGTATCTGAGCCCACTCTAGAGGCTGCCACATAAGTTCAGAGTCCTAGCTATGGTGGAAGTGTGCTCCCCTGATCAGTAAAGATCACCCTGATAGTATAGTAGATTACGAACTGCTAACTGAAAGATCAGAAGTTCCAATCTACCAGTTGCTCCTAATGAGAAAGACAAGGCTTTCTGCTCCCATAAAGATTTACAGTCTCAGAAACTCTACACAGGGTGACTGTGTGTCAGAACTGGCTTGACAGCTCACAACCACCAAAGAGTCCATTCTTAGGATGTTGTTGTTGTTGCTTTGTGCCGTGGAGTCGGTTCCAACTCATAGCGACCCTGCAGTAGTTAAGATTTCTCATGCGATGAATGGGAACCACAGTATGAGACCTATTTGGGCAGTGAGGTAGGGAGTCTCTTTGGATAATTTGGAAGAAGAGAATAATATCATGAAAGAAGTAGAAGGGAGAAAGATGATGAGCCCTTAGAAGATAAGTAGAAATTGAATCTTCTTTTGGTTGCTGTTTTAGCCTCTACCTTTCAAAGATCTAAAGATTTAATTCATCAATCATGAACCAAAGCTGCACCCATCACCTTACTTTACAAGTAGACAATAAATACTGGTCCAAATGATTGGAATATAGCTGTTGGTGATGAAAAAGGCAAAGTAAGAAAGCACAATAGCCTGAGTGTTTTCTGTTTTGTTTTGTATCCTTGGCAGGAAGAGCATCTTCTGAGTTGATGCCAGGCTAAGGCTCAGGGGCGTCACTGGGTGGTGCAATCAGTTAAGCGCTCATCTGCTAACTGAGGTTGGCAATTTAAGTCTGCCCAGTTGTTGTTGTGAAGTGCTGTCGAGCCTGTTCTGACTTACAGCAATGCTGTATAGGGTTTCTAAGGAGCAAGTGGTGGGTTTGAACTGCCGTTAACTTGCAGTTAATGGTCCAGTACTTATCCTACAGTGCCACACCTGCATCTTTTTTTAAAAAAAAAAAGAAAGACTGATGGTCTACTTCTGAAAGGTCACAGCTATGGAAAACCCTATGGAACTCAGTTCTATTCTGAAACACATGGGGTTACATTGACTCAGAATCAATTCGATGAAAACTTTTTAATGTTGTTTTAATGGCTAACAGTCATCACTTCTCAGAGTTCCCCTAACTTCATTTAGAAACAAGTAGCATTCATAGTGTACAGTCTGTCTCTCTTTCTCTATATCACACACACAGTAAAAGGGACATTCTTAGTGTATATTTAAAGCAGCCAAGTTTGAAAGTCTTAAAAGCCCACACTTCGTTCAAGATGCCAGTTATTCTTTTTTAATCATTATTAGACTTTCTCACCTTCTCTCCTCCTTCCCTTCATGAGTTAGGTGGGGGACACAAGTATCTTTTGGATTGCTTTACGTTTTGGTAATGGTCATTGTCTCACCCTCTCTAAATTCTGCTACTTCAGAATAATAACTTTTCCTCTCTCTCAACAAGATTAAAGTTCTGTTGAACATTGATGGTTTGGAAACACCCAGGCTCATATAAAATGTTAGGTGCATGTTCCTGGAGTTGTTTCTTTTCCATAGCTAAATAACTTGTGTCCCTGGTTGCAACTGATGATTACATTTCCTACCTTGTGGCTATCTATCCTGGGTTCTTTCTCGTTCTTCTCTACTGCACAAAACTTGTACTCACTTATCTCATTGACATATTATTTCTCAGGAAGAAGAAGATAGGGAAGCCACCTTTAATATAGTCCACTGTCCACACAGTTCTGAAGCCAGTGAGGAGCTGAGCCTTTGTCCGGAGAGTAGATCCCCTTCTCTCTTGTCTTAATCTTTATGATAGTAATGAGTTCTTTTCTAATTCACCTGACACAGATCCTAAGCTTTTACTTTGACAAAGCTTCTGAGAAACGCAGTGCGTGATGTTTTACTTCAGTTTGAATTAATTGGGACCATAATTGAAGTTGCTGTTGTACAAGTACTTCTAGAATAACCTGATATTTCCTAGAAAAAAAATCAACATAAATTAGTTGAAATGAAATGGTATCACTTTGGTACTTGTTCCTATGGTTTTATTTTTAGTTCATGTCTTTCCAAATTGTAATTCATAAGGGAGTGGTTCTTTGCTACTCCAAAGGGCATCATCTGTTTCTTCCAACAAAGTAGCTACGATAAGAACTATTAAGAACACTAGCTTATCAGATAAATCCACTATAAATTCAGCACATCAAACATATATGTTCTACATTACAGAACACATGACGTTGTTATCCTTTCCAACAGAAAGGAAACAATGTGCACAGGTTAAACTATATGCTGGCACACCTGCTTCAAAGAGACCAAGTCTTGGTTATAAAAAAATGTGTTGAGTATCTTTTCAAATGAATCTGTTTAATCAAATATTAAGTTTTATTCAAATCCCCAAAGAAACAGCCAGCCAATTGTTTTTCTTCATCATGTTCCTTGTCATTCATCCTCTTTGCATCTCAAGAAAAATAGCCTTGTTTAGGCCTCAAACATTTGCATGTTCCCAATTAAAGCACAAGAGTAGAATTATAAGCCCTTCAGACATGCAGGTGAAGAAACAACCTATTCTGTATCACAGGCCACTCCTTCTTGCTCAACTTTTGGAGAATTCTAAATTACTTGAAGTTTGAAAAGGAAGATTGCTTAGTAATTTGAAATTAAAATAACAACTGGAAAATGTGGGTTAAAAATGGATATTTAAAGTGTGAAAAAAAATGGGAGTTGATGTTTTACAAGTTTTGAAATCTGGTGGGACTCTGTAGTATTTCTATTTTTAAAAAACCAAGTCAAATCCACTGCCATCAAGTTGATTCTGACTCATAGCAACCTTATAGGTTTCTGAAACTGTACATCTTTAAGGGAACAGTCAGCTACATCCTGCTCCCTAGGAGCTGCTGGTGGGCTTGAACCAATGACCTTGTGATTAGCAATCCATTGCCTAACCTATAGTGCCATCAAGGCTCCTTAGTAAGTGTTAGCTGTAGTGAAACATTTAAAGACTGGTTTCCCAATCCCTCTTACCCAGAAAAAAAGATTATAAAGTAAATTTAAAAAAAGAATTCCATAAACTACACAACAATTTATGTTGAACTTCTTAACGGAGCAACAACTTCTCCATCGCCACCAACATTAAATAAGTGAGTTCAGAGCTTTTCCCTCTAGTCAATTTTCCTAGGAGTAAAGCCTCTTAGAAATATGATAAATCAGACAACAAGAAGGAAGCTAAAATTCTTTGGGTGTGCATTTTGAAAATGTTAGTAAGCAGTCTCAGCCCATTTGGTTGGAAGAGCAGCAGCATGTAAAATCTCTTGCCGCAATTGGGGGGAGAAAAAAAAAATTCTTCCTGCAGCCTTTGCAACCTATTATTGTCCCATTTGCCTTTTTGCTGCCTCCGCTGCTCCTCCGGCTGCTGCTGTTTAGGTAAGGTTATATTGTATTTGGTAAACAGACAACACTTAGATTCTCAGGTTGTTTGAACACTGCTTTAGGTTCAGCTGCAGTACCCTGATTCTCTGATCTTTTATATTCCGAGCAGATGTCTTTCATTAATTTATGGATTTATCATCTTTTTTCTTTCTTTCTTTTTTTTTTTTTTTTTTTTACACCTGGCAGCTGTCTCAAGTTTCAGCAGTTATTGTCTATTTTGCATTACACATAGAATTGAATGTCATCTGTCTTCACAAAGCTATAGCTAAGAGAATTGAGGCAAAGCCACATGAGCTGCCGGGACAGATCTTGTTTGCGTTCCATCCCCCCTCGCCCCTACCCCCTCCTTTACCTCCTTAATATTTATTTGTGCTCATTTTCTTTCCTGGCCTTGAATGGAGCTTAGCTCGTGTTCAGTACAGCTGTATGTTTACTGAATCTATTCCATCATGAGTCATTGTGCGTGTGTAAGTATCCTAGAAACAGCTAGTGCTTTCTTGGAAGAACAGTTGCTTTTCAGCACAAGCACTTAAAAGGGAAATTAACCAATTGGTCAGTTCAGATTTATTTTGAGGAGGGAGAGAGAGAAAAAAAAAAGGATTATCTAACTGTTGGCTTTTAAATGTTTCATTAGTTATTTTTAATAGTTTATTAGAAACATATATTTTATGGGAATTTTATCTTAATTACACTGTGAGCAAGAGATAAAGATTTATTCTGTGTTCCATTTCAGTTGCCCAATTCCAAGTATTACCAACAGGAAACATTTTAGAGCAAAAACAAACCTGAGAAATTCATATTAGAATACTTTTTTTTTCTCATTACATAAAAAGCCTCTAGCTCTTGATCAAAATAAGACGGAAAGTTTACATTAAACAAATAAAGTAATTGAAGGAACTAAAACATGTTAGTCTAATTTGAATGTGTTGAGAGTGTCAGGAAGTTTTGATAGCTCTATGCCTGTCTGAGAGCCAGAGTCAAAACAGTTTGTATTTTGTATGATCACATTTTAAAAGATGTGGGACTTTCCCCCCTACTAATAATTAAGTATATGAGGTGGTTTTAATGTAGCCGCCTGAAAGAAAATATTAGAATCCAGATCTGAGAATGTTTGTTGAAGTTTGGACCTGCCTAAAACTCTTATCACAAGGCAATAGGAGACAGCTTGCAACTATTATTTCACTTATCCATTTGGACAGATGGTCCTGAAGTGTGCCGGGCTCCTTTAGTCTTCTCTGTCAGTGTAATGGAGGTTACTGGAGGGCCTTTCAGCTCTTTCCTTGGCACAAGAAGTATGTCACTCATAAATTATCGTCTTTGTAATCATTAAGGATCTCAAACAAAAACACAAGTTCAGTTAAACTGCTTTGGCTTACAAATATAAAATCAAAATTTCCCTCTTCAGTGTTCATTTTCATTGGGGATGGGGAAGCACAATACTTAGCTTTTCTCTATAAACCAACAGAGTATTTTTAAAAACTGCATGCGATGCCAAAGTGAATGTTCATTGAACAAAGTCTCTGCAGAATATTTGGTTAAATTCTCTATTACAAGAAGTCAACAGTTTATCAATGCTAATTTGATTATGCCTCTCTAGTAATTTTCTGGTGGTCACACCATTCTTAAGTGTGGTCCTGCTATACTTGCTGAAGGTTATTTGGAAACCATGATGACTAAGTATGTTCATTGATTTGACCTTTTCTAAGGTGTAAAATTTTGGTTGGGTAGTTGAGGGTGGAGTCTTGGTGTGGCACTGTAGGATAAGCACTCCACCTCAAGGTCAGTTTCAACTACAGGGTTGGTGGTTCAAACTCACCAGCAGCTCCTTGGAAACCCTATGAGTCAGAACCGACTTGACAGCACTTAACAACAAGCAAGGTGTAAAATTTTGTTAGTTAAGGGCGTGTGCCTGTGTGCGCATGCATGTATTCGTGCTTGTTTTTCTTTTCCTTTTTTTTTTTTTTTCTTCCCTTTTCCCAGACTGTCTTATGTGAGAAAATCCTTAGAGAAGCTTCTAGGAAGGAGCCTTAATTGACCTTGTGGGGGACCACATTGATTTTCTCCACGTGCATCTTCATTTCTGATAAATTATAAAGCCATTAATTTGCTGAGGAAATGGCAGGGCCAGGCTGCGGCACAGATGTGACCAGAGCCATCCCAGCTCTGAGTCTGCTGAGGAGTGCCAAGAATCTGGGGGAGAATCAGGAAGCCTGGATTGTTATGGTTAGCCTTACATTCTCTTGGGAACTGTTGTAGATGCTGCTGTTTACAGATCTAAAAGGTAATGATGTTTCCAGATAAATAGGCCTTCTTATTTTGGGTAAGTGGCCATTTATTGATCTGCTAACCCACATTTATTGATTTGTTAGCCTCAACTACTGTGCCGTTCTCAAAGGAGTTAACTATAAATCCAGAAGAGGCAAATTGTATTTGGTTTTGGATCGTTGCTTTAACAAAAGCGACACCCTCGCCTCACCCAATTCACTCTGTGCCCAAACTACCCCTCCCAACTCTTAGCTATTATTTAAAAAGCAAACAATTAAAAAGGCATAATAGGATCTCAAGAAAGTGATTCAATTCTATAGATTAGCACTAAAAAGTAAAGTGTGAAGCTTGCATATAACAGTGTTCATAATACTGCATTTTATACTTTCACCTACATTAGTATAATAATGTGATGTAAACTGCATAGTACAGAGAGAAAGAACAAACAGAAGTGTAATTACAAAGAAGGGGAAAACTCTTACGATAAGAGTTGTGCAGCACATGTTGGTTGCATTTGTCTCCTAGCAACAAGTGAATGTATAGATAGCGTTCAGACATAAAAGGGGGAGGGTGTTTTGCTGCCTTCACCCTAAAGTAGCCAAGATTGTGCAACTCAATTGTGCACCTTTACCATTACATTTGGTTACGAATCGGGCTGCTACCCGCAAGGTCAGCAGTTCAAAACTACCAGCTGTTCCTCAGGAGAACGATGAGGCTTTCTGCTCCTGTAAAGATTTCCAGCCTCAGAAACCCTGTACAAGGTCGCTATGAGTCGGAACCGACTCCACGGCACATAACGACAACAACCATTACATTTGGCAATGTCTGACAGGCAATGATATCATTTTGAAAAAAAAAAAAAAACCAGCAGCAAGTTATCAATGGAACCTGTCAGCAATGCCACTGACCTGGCAGCATTCCTTCAATGACTTGGTTGGTCTCTGTCATCTCTGGTGTAATGGTGGTGGTGTGGTGGTGGTGCTGACGCTTTGTGTCCAAAGACATTTTTCCCTTAACCAATTGCATCCTACATGCAGGAAGGATTGTCTCCCAATCACTTGAAAAAAGCAAAGCTCATGTTCTTTTATACTCGTTACCCCAGCTCCAATATGCTGAAGACCTACTTCTCCGATGTAAAGGTAGGGGCATTTTTTTATTATTTGTTCACCTTCTACATATGCGATAGTGGCTTGAACCCTTGGAAGTTAATGGAGATTGATGTAGAATCAGTTCATTAATACACCTATGTTGTAATTGATTCAATGCACTTTTCCTTTTATTTAAAGGTGTGCCAAGCTAAGATGGTCCTTGTGTTTAGAACTGAAGGACTGTTCATAATAAACCATGTGGGTTTACAATACAGTCTGGGAAACTCAGCCTCAGTTTTTATATGTTTTAGTAGCTTCATGGGGGGAAAACTCAGCCGGTGATCAATAGATATGCTTTAGAGAATTTTTCCCACCCCTCAGCAGCAATAAACTGTTTCTGTTTTTGTTTCTGTTGGTTTCCTCATATTTGTGCTTCTGAAAGCAAACTCTAGCACCTCTTTTTCCACCCTGTCGAAAAGGAGCGGACACTGAAATTCTCTATGCAGTAGCTGCTTAAAAACAAAAGTGATGATTGTCTCTTATTTACAACTTAATTTGTTGTTGATGTAGAGTACACTGAGCATAAGGGGAATGAATAAAGTGACAGATTCAGGACACATTATTCAAATGAGGATATGAAAGCTGTCTGCCTACAGCTGCAGCCTCCCTCATTCTACAGAAGATTGGGACCTCCTGGTTCTGTGTGTGCGTGTGAGTGTGTGTGTATGCATATGTGTGTGTCTGTGTGTGGGTTTTAAGTAATTGTTTGCATCAAGTTGATGTTGTGTTAATCATCTGTAACTTTTTAAAACATAGATTGGGTTTTGATGATGATAATGACACACATGGTATCATTATCCAAGGAATTTGATAAACATTACATTAGCTGAGATTAGTTTATTAGGGTTGGGTGCGTCTTTCTCCACCCTCCCCTTCCCACCCCATATGTACAAGTTCTTATTTCTGCCATTGAGAACTCACAAGCTGCCAAAACCCGCTTGCTCCTCTGCCATCCCCTCCATGCAGTTTGTCCGGTACTTGATGCCCAAGTTGCTTCCTTGGCCTCATTTTGAAGCTCAACTCATTTCAGTTTCCTTCACTGATGTTTTATTTGGCCTTATAAGAATAGTTCTGTTTTCCCTCCTGTTTGCTTTTGAATTGTGTATCAACTTCAGCCTTGTATCTTTCTCTTTCCCTGGCTGTGCTCCTTAAGTGGAAGGCTTGTTTTCTCCTCTGATGCCAACAAACTGGGCAGGATGGGGAAGACAGAGAAAGGCGGCAACTTAAATAGCTGGTTAAGAATCATTAAGCATGAAACAAGCTGACACCAATAGGTCCGGGAAAGCATTTGTGGGGGACGCTCTAGAATAGAGGGTCCCTGGGTAGTACAAACAGTTTGCACTCTACTTTTAACCTAAAGATTGGCAATCGGAACCCACCCACTGGTGGCACAGAAGAAAGAGCTGGCAATTAGCTACCATAAAGGTTATAGCCAGGAAAACAATACATGGCTTCACCCTCAGGCAGAATTGACACAACAGCAACGCTTTTTTAAAAGAAATCAAAAATAGACAAATTTAAGAGAATTTGATACCTGATTGAAGGACCAGTGAGCTTCTAGACCCCAGTAGAGGGTCTAGAACATCGTCCTCCAGCGAATCCTCCCAACACTTTAGTTCTTAGAAGTGATAATAAGAGGAAGGGGAGGGAAATTGTGTTAGCTCATGTGTGTGTATGTTTGTGAGTGTGTGACCTCTTTTGTTCCTCTAAGTGGGATATAAGAATGGCAATACCTTATATGATTTATATAGCACCTTTGATCTAGAAGGATGCTGAAGAGCTTTACAAACTGCAAGCATAGGGATCACTCAGCCACCATTGAAGCGCAGCACACGGAGAGTAGAAAGCAGCGGTCATTCTGAGCCAGCAGCATTATTCAGCAGTAGATGTAAATATTAGAAACCTTCATATCTGTGGGGGGCAAGGAGGGGAGAAATAAATCGACAAGAAATTATTCACATTCTTTTAGAATACATCGAGTGACTCAGCTTTGCAAAAAACAACTCCTACTGTGTAAATAATGATGAAATACCCTGTGAGTGCTTTATTTTTAAAAAGTAGTCATATTCAGATTATAGATGCTAGCCATACTCTATCCATACTAGGGGAGACTATTAAAGTATACATGAGTCTCGTTAACTCCCAATTACCCATTCTAATGGAGAGGAAAGAGTTGGAACTTAACACAAGACAAAACCACCTAAGGTCATTACTCTTAAAATTTTTGGAGTAAAGTATATACTTTTAACACTCCTAATTATGTTTTTTCTTTGGCTATTAGTAAATGAGTTTGCATTCCCCGAGTTTATGCTGTTGATAGGGGAAAGTTATGTATATAATGAGAAAATTGGACTTCTTTAATACCAAGAATAATCAAGAAATGAAGTGTTAATAATGAATATATTCATACGTATATATATATATATATATACATATACATATTATGATATATATACAGTATACATGTATTTGTATATATGAAATATATTTATGTGGGTCCTTATTGGACTCCTGTTATAATGCTGGACTGCTAACCACATGGTCAGCTGTTCAAACTCACCAGCTACTCCTTCAAAACCCAAGGCAGGGTCACTAGGAGTTGGAAGCACCTCAAAAACATTGGTAGCTGAAATTGCTAGATGCTTCTCTGCATACAGTTCAAAGTTATTTTGGTTGGGACTCAGGAAACCACTACAGCACTTAGAGGTGCCTAGAAAGTGTGAGGGGACCTTAGGGTCTTATCACAAATGAAGCCCTGTACCATCTCTCTTGAATCCAGTAATGCCTGCCGTAAAGACACAGCCTACGTTTGATTGAGGCTACATTCCTCTAAAAGAAAATCCTACTTCTAGCAAAATGTACTATCCCAAATCATAAAGTCATTTCAAATTGGGATTAGATATTAGTGTTGCAAGGAAAAACAGCACCAGCAGAAAACATTTTCTTTTGTAATTAAGGTGTAGCACAGGTATGCATCCAAGCCACACTTGGAGGATAGTGCAGGGCTGAGTAATACTCTCACTGGCTCCACATAGGTGAGCAGGAGGAATGATGCACACTGCTTTGTAAGCATTTCTTTGGAAAGGACCTAACACACATGATTTCCATTTCAGGTAGGAGGTATACTGCCCAGGGAAGCACAAACAGTTAAGTACTTGGCTACTAATTCAAAGTTTAGAGGTTTAAGTCCACCCAGAAGCATGTAGGAAGAAAGGCCTGGCAAACTACTACCAAAACAGCAGTCATTGAAAACCCTATGCAGAGTGGATTTATGTCAGTGGGGAAGGAACAACTCAGAAAAGGACAGTGAGAATGTTATTGAATTGTACATGCAGAAACAGTTGAATCAGTGTGTTTCATATGTTTTCAACAACAAGAAAAAAAATGTTTTAAATCTTTATGGTACACGGTTCCACTCTGCACACATGGGTTGTCATGAATTGGAAAGGACATTAACTGGTTTTGAATTACCTTAGAAATGAAGAGGTAGAAGTGACTTATACACAATACAGTAGTGGTGGCATGGTGTGAGAAAATTTCTTCCACTGTTGTAGAGCTGATTTAGTTCACTTTCTTAAGTAAGAACCTAAACAAAGTCCTATGTCCACACCAAGAGTCCAACTTAACTCCTTCACAATGATATTTAGACAAAAAACTCTGCTTCTCATGACAGGAAGGGCAGGTGGGCACAGGTGAGAGAGATACCTAGGATTAGTGGACCAACGCCGTCTTACTTTTCTGGACTAGGTGCTGATTTTAATGCATGAACTCATAACTCTTAGACCACTAAGTACAACAGTTTCAGTGTCGTTTTAGCTTTAAAGAACAGACGTTCACAGGCTTTTCAACCCCGCAGTTTTAAATGATGTATCTCGTTCCCCCCACCTCTTGAGTCAACTGCTGCCTAGCCAGATTAAGGTGTCAGATTGATTTGTTTTATACATCTTTTGACCATGCTCATTGAATATTTAGGAAGTTTCTTCAGCCCATATTGAGGCTGAGATGTCCCGTGGGAAGCATTAATCAAAGTCACAGAGACTCATACCCTGTGTGGAAACACAGCCTCTTTATTGTAGCGATTAGTTTTTGCAGTAACACATTAACACACTACAGAGCTCTCCTTTATAGAACAATTGATCCTTTTCTTGTAGGCACTACAGGATGGGGGAAATTAACTCTTTAAAGTTTAACACTATTTTTTCCTCCACCCCTCCCCAAAGTGAGTATTTAGAAAAGAGGGGGGGGTGGGGTGGGTCTGTTTTTGCTCTTTGCCAGCAACTAAAACTGAGCACATTTCAGTTCACTTCTAGTGGAGAGAAACCCTGTCCTCCAAACTGGTGTGTTGGTTATTTCGCTTCTCATGTTTGGGGAGTCTGTTATTTTTGTCCATTCTTTCTCTCTGGTATTTCCATTCTCCAACAATAAGCTTTAAATCTCCCTTTATGTCCCATTCCGAAATAATGGCAAGTGTACTTACTTTTTTGTCCTTCCCATTAGGTCATTCATGACCATTCTAGAAAAAAAAAAAAAAAAAACCCTTCTATTTTTTTCCTCTACAGTACTCTTGTCCATATGAGACAATGTCTTGTAACAATACAGAAGCCTAATCTCCATGTCAAAGCAATTTTCATTCCCCAGTGCACAGTCTGCTATCATTTTGTAATGTTTTGTTTCTTATTCTAAAAGAATTAAAAAGGAACAGTAAGCCGTCACGGGGGCCTGTAGTCCTTATCTCAGTGTCTGGAAATTTGGACAGTGTATTTTACTGCTGAGATAAAATGGAAAGAACTTCAAGTTCAGCAAATCGTAATGGGTTTAAGTTCTATTGAAATCGGTAACCAGAAGATCAGATAACGGGGGTCCTTCAGTTGTCTTTTTAATCGGGTCCCCCGCAAGGCTGAATAGAGACAGAGCAGACACACAGAGTGAAAATATAATTCTTGGATAGGTTAAGTACATGTTTGAACTCTTGCAAGCAGAAGCGATTTGCTGATGACTTAATCATTTTCTGGTCAATTATCTGTAAGAACCCTTGCAACTGCATGACAATTATGATGCAAGTTGGCCTTTTGGGAGAAACACCAGTCTCCCTGCTTCTGTTTCCTTGTGACTTCAATTCTCTGCCATAAATTTTCATTCATTTATTATCTTTGCTAGTATAGAAACAACTTTCTGCGTAGTAATTACAGCCCCAATACACACTTTAGCTGTCATCTTGTAGGAGTCTGGATGTTCTCCTGGCTAGTGTTTGATAAATGATCTTTGTTGATTTTTGATGAATGCACATCTTTTTCTGGGGGCCCAGAGAAGGGGATGCCTGTGATAACAAAAGGCAGGGGTTGTCTGTCAGCCTGCCTGATATAAAACTATGGATTTATTGGTTTTGACTTGGCAACTTGAGACGCATCTGTCCTTTGTGTGCACAGAGGACTGTCAATAAGGATGGTATCATTTGCAGTGAATCCAAGATGACATCTTCATTTAAAAGGTCATAGGGAAACTGTGGTAAACAAAGTTTTAAAATCGAATTGTGTTATAGTAACTTGGCATTTAAAAAACGTAACAGAGATACAGTCTCTGCCATCTGTGTGCTGGGTCTTAAACCACACCTCCCAACCAGCACAGATCCTGGCCTCAGTGGATATGGGTCTCACCCAGTGCTGGATGCAGTGAGCATGTGAACAGAGCAGTCTGACCAAAAGGCACCAGGCTAGAAAACTGTAGAGGAGCACTGAGTGGAATCATGGGTGAATGGGTATGGGAGCATGTATTACCCAAAATAAGCATATGCCAGATCCCTCCCATTTTGTGTAAAAGCCATTTTCTCAGCATTGAAGGAGGCATGTGGAGACACAGAATTTTTGGTGAAGTCACGTAGCTCATCATCTTTAGTACCTGAGACTAGCAACTCTTCCCAGGATCCTGTAGCCTGAATGAATTCCCATAAGGAGTCAATAAGTGCCATGCATTCTGCTGAAAGATGAAGAACGATGTTTAGAAAACGAGACATTCAACTTGTGGAAAGTCAGCTTTTTAATACAATCATTTGAAATGAAACTTGTGATATGATTTCCGTTGTTGAGTTGTTTGATACTATCCTGTAAATATATTATTCCTTTCGCCCCTCTCGCCGTCATTTTGGAGGAGTTAAAAAAACACACCTTTCCAAGTCATGAGGGAGGGGGTCATTAAGCAGTGCTTTAAAATGCTTTAAAAAGTACATGAAGAAAATGGCAATGTTCTTATCCTTTTCAATATTTAAATTTGACAGTTCAACAGATGTATTACCTCTCAGCTTATCAAGTGGTTTAGCAATTTCCGTGAGTTTTACTACATTCAGATGGAGAAGTATGCACGCCAAGCCATCAACGATGGGGTCACCAGTACCGAAGAGCTGTCTATAACCAGAGACTGTGAGCTGTACAGGGCTCTGAACATGCACTACAACAAAGCAAATGACTTTGAGGTAGGAACTAATCTTTATCTTTCCTGTTTAAACATTTATTTTTTTTTAGAAAAGTTCTAAAATTCTTTTTTTTGCCCTGGTTTCTCATGTAAGCATCCTTCAGTAGGTACTAGGTACAGCAGCCACAAGGAACCCCCGGTGGCTCCCACGGGGTTTGCCTTTCCTCTCTCTTTCCCTGGCTCATCTGCTTGTATGGAAGGTCCACTGAATCACAGAAAAGGGAACTGGAGAATCCAAGGGAAATGCCAGCAAGGAGCAAACATTGATATTTTAATAACTCCCTTTCCACAGCAAAGGCCCCTGTTCCGATCGGCATTTTTCATACTTAGGTTCCGGGATGCCAGTTGAGTGCATATATTAACTGCAAAAGTTATTTTCTGAAAAAGGTCTAAAAATGTTAGATATGGAGTGATTCCATGGTTCCTAACTTCTATAGTTATTTGTTTCCCTTTAATGTATGAAAATTTGCTAGTGTCATAATAGAACTATCTACATTATGTTTTGATTTTATCTTTGTTTTTGTTGCTTTTGGAAGATACTTGTGCTTTTACTGTGCATATGTATACCTTGACTGTTTGTTTTATATAGATAAATAGATACACACAAAACAATAGAGACAGTTCCCAGAAAGCAATATCCACGTAACAATGAAAGACGGTTGGTATGAGTTAGGCATTTCTTTACAGGCTCATGTGGTGCCTCAGCAAACAGTTTTCATCGTAACATACTCATTCTCTTTGAGACACCCCCAGCAAATTCCCCAGTACCCACAAAGGCATTTTGCTGAGCCTTGCTGGTTGAGGCAATAAAAGTTGGTGGCCTGAACCCCACCAATGATGACAGCTTTGGGTTAACAGCATTGGTCCATTTCTTGTACTCTCTTGACTTGCTGGTATACAACCTCAGGGGATGAATTTTCTCCCCTACACCTTCTCGGGCTGAGACTTGATGTTAATATTCCTGGTTTCTATTGTGTATGGTGTTGTAGCTGCTGTTGGGTTGGTCTGGACTCATGGCAAACCCATATACAATGGAATGAAGTACTACCTGGTCTTAACCTGCACCTTGATTGGTTAAGGATCAGATCCATTGTGATTTATAGGGTTTTTTGGGTTTGGTTGAGTTTTTTTTGTTTGCTTGTTTCTGTTTTTAACATTTTATTGTGGTTTGGATGAAAGTTTACAGAGCAAATTAGTTTCCTGCTCAACAGTTTTTACACAGCTTGTTTTGTGATATTAGTTGCAATCCCCTAACTATAACGGCACTCATCCCACGTCCTCCCTGGATCCCAGTTTCTGTTTGCCTATCTATCTTTCCTGCCCCTTCCTGCATTCTGCACTTTGGGATAAATACTACCCTTTCGGTCTCATGTGACTGATTACTCTGAGAAGCACGTTCCTCATGGGTGTCATTGTTCACTTTATAGGTCTGTCTATTATTTGGCTGAAAGGTGATCTCAGAGGTACATTCAGGTCTAGGTTTGAAGGGTGTCTAAGGGTGACGCACTTGGGGGTTCCACCAGTCTCTATCAGACTAATAAGTCTAGTCTTTTGATGAATTTGAATTTTGTTCTACATTTTTCCCCCCACTCAGTCCAGGACTTTCTATTGTGGTCCCAATCAGAAGAGTCAGTAGTGGTCACTGGACACCATCTAGTTCTTCTGGTCTCACGGTCATGGAGATTGTGGTCTGTGTGGTCCATTAGCCCTTTGGGCTAATTGTTTTCTTGAATCTTTGAGTCTCTTCTTTGCCCCTGAAAGGAAGAGACTCGATATATAGAATTTTCACTGGCTGATTTTCAGAAGTAGATCTGTTCAGCATTGTAGCAACACATAATCCTCCACTGGCAGAGAGAGAGTGGCTCTGTACGAAGTATGTTGCCCAGGAATTGAGCCTGAGTCTCCCATATGGACAGTGAGAATTCGGCCACTAAGCCACCACTGATCTTCCAGAAATTTCCAGGGAGTTTTCAACTTTGAAGACAAGCAAGACCCTGGTCTGGACTAGCTAATTTAAGCTCTGGCTCCCATGCCTCCCTGTTTGCCCCTCCCTTTTGGCAGTGTGAATCTATTACACTGAACATGGAGGCTTAGCAGGAGAGAAGTTGCTTCTTTTTTTTTTTTTTTTAGTTTGAATGGTTTGACTGTAGGTCACCAATTTATCTTTGCCATCCAAGAAAAATACTTCTTCTTGCTAAACATGGTAATGAAATTTTTCTTTTGCAGAGCACATTAAAAGTAGGGACTCTTCTTGTGCCACTCCACTATTTTAAAGTTTGATTGTAACTGAATACTGGTTTACTATATTAGCAGAAGACACCAGCAATGTTTTGTCCCTAAAGCTAAATAATATGATTATGGCTAACCACTTTAAAGAAATATCATTACTGAGCACTTGTTTCTTCTTTTTCTTTCTTTCTGTCTTTCTGACATGTCGATTGCAGTAAACCTTAAGCCAAGAGACTTCAGGTATGGGTTAGTGGACTACTTACAGTTTATTATGATATAGATAGTCTTTTAGAATGGATATTATTTAGTTAGATGTCACAAAAGAATTGCTCAAGGTTTGTGGGATGCTTTTTTTGCTGTGTAGCATACTCTAGAGACTAAATCCTTAAAGTACACAGGGATGTTTAAAACCTTACCTGGATGGTATTTCAAATGGCACAAAACAGGGGATGACTTGTATCAAGAGACCAACACAGTGCTCCTTTTAGCATCAGCTGAATCCTCCTCTAATATGATTAACATCTGATATTTTCCTCTTTGTGAATCATATCCACTTCTAGCCAGGCCACCTCTCCTTTATCTACAATGTCTATTTTAAGACTGTTTCAATACAAGGAGCCTGGGGAGGTACTTTGTCACTTCCCATGTGACTTCAGGCAAGTTTTTAGGCTATTCTGTTTCAATTTCCTTCTCTAGAAAAAGCTAGTTTCTCAAGGGGAAAGGAAGACCCCATGCTCCCATGCTTAGGAGACGCTGAGTTTCTGTTAAAAGAGATGAAAACATTGCAGAATGGTTAGGGTTATGGTTAAACAACATGATGATCATCATTTAACATCAATGAACTGTACATGAAAAGATTGTTGAAACGGACAAATCTTTTGTTATACATATATTCACCCCAATTTTCACACATAACAAAATTTCACAGATACAAAAACCACTAGGCTCTTACCAGAAATGTAGTGAGAAAAAAACAGGTTCCTGGTTTCTCCCCTGCCCTCTCTCCTTTTACACTCACATGTACAAATACAGTTATGCTCTCCACACATATAATTGTAATATTACTAAGTAGGATTTAATTTAGCCTCTCAGTTTGTCACATTTATTAACTAAAGTTTCAGATAAGGTGATCCCTTCTTTTTATGTGCCTTTATATAAGCACAGAGGTCACTGACTAAGTGAGATGCTTAAAACACAACTGACTTTATCATTGTAGCTTTACCAGAGTGGGCCTGGCACTCCTAACTGAATATCTCAACTGATATTGTATGTGCTGCTTTACTTTGGTATTGGAGTTTCTCATAAACTCTTTGTATTTAGGTTTCACATTTTTGTATTTAAGAAGCTCATAAAATCAATCTGTATAGTTTAAGTAGGAGCCAGGGATAAGGAAGGCTGTAGAGACAATTATGTACTTTGCTTCCTTTTAAGTACTTAAAACAGAGTGGAAGCATGGTAAAGAAACTGAATTTGTGTCAATGGGAAGCCCAAAGAGTCAGTCAATTAAAGGAATATATTATACCAATTGAGCATTAACTGGTCTAATAATAAAACATCTCACTGACGGCATTTACAAATTTCTCAGATATTTATTTATAACAGGGAGATACCTAGCATTCAGTGATTCAGTGATGGTAGACTGGGTTGCAGGTAGTCAGATTCTAAGTGCTTCAGTGATATTAACATTTTTAATGAGAGCAATAATAATGATGATACTAACACCATCATAACGAGAAAATGTCCAGATCTCTCAAACCTCCTCCTCTGTTTACAAAGGAATCTTGAATGGTCCAGGGCAGGTAGTTAGAGGGAAAAAAAAGGTGTGAGAATGAAGCTAATGATTCCCCCCTTTACTACTACTTTTTTCTTCCTTCTTTCTCTTCTGTTTCTTACCTTTTTTTTTTACTTTCTACCCATCTCTGCCTCTGGCATAAGCTTGCAGATGGCACACCTCTGCCACTGTTTAACACCATCCCTCCCCCAGTTCCTGCTGCTGGGACTCGCAAGGCCAGAGGGGTTGCTGACCCCTGGCCTACGGAGAAAATAAAGCAGATGGGGAGGGTTTATCACTAGCAAGGAGGGGTGTGGCTCCAATCTCTCTCCCCTTCTAGGCCCTGCATTTCCTGGCCTTTATGAGTCAGGGCCTTCCAAGTGACAAGGGGAGCTGGTTCTGCCTTTTGTATCAGTTTACACAACTGCCAAGATTCTTGGCACAGCAGTCAAACTTAGGGTGGTGAGAGCTTGAGAAGACCCAGGGGATGTGGAAGAAGATGCTGAAAGGGGAAAAAATGAATTAGGCTTTGAGTGTGTACTAAAAGTGGGGGCAGGGGCTGGGGCCTGGAGTTGGCTGCATCCCCCTGTGAGGTAGGGTATCTGGATTCTGAACAGGAGCTTGCAAAGGTGTTAGGGAGGGGGGTGTTCAATTACAGGCTTCATCTTCCATTCCCGCTTCTCACATTTAATGAGATTGGCAACAATAAATTTGTCTTTCCAGGTGTTATGGTATATATTTCCCTGCTTCATTCTCACTTCATTTTGAAGAACTTGCAAAATCATTTTTTTTTTTTTTTTAATGGAGAGGGTAAAGAGGTTTGGGATTCCTTCCCAACTTTTAAATCACACTGATACTTCTGACTTCAGGGGCACTAGGGGTTGAATTTTATTGGTGGCTTTTTTTTTTTTTTCCTTTTCTGTTTTCCTCACAACTGTGGCAAGACCTGTAACCTTAAAGAAGGTAAAGATCACTGTCAAATTTCAAGGCTAGTTTACTAA